CAAAGAATCATTTATGATATGGAGTAGAATCAACGTCCAATGAAATGATTATCATACAAAATGAATCCTTCGTTGGACTAAGTTACAATGACGAGATTCTTCTTTAACCTGTGGTCCCATTCGTTCAATTTATTGGAGATAACTTCATGTTAATGCATGATAATGCTAGACCGCATATAGTTAAAGTTGTCACACATTACTTGGAGGATGTAAGGATTATCACAATGAATTGGCCAGCACGTTCTTTTGACATGAATCCCACAGAACAGTTTAAAGAGAGGGGTTAGACATCATTCGCCACTTCCAACACCTTCAAACCGTTCTTGTTGAAAAATGGGTTCTGATTCAAAATATGAAATCTGGACACTCATAGACTCGATGCCTAGGCCTCCGCGAGGCCAGAGGAGGTAATAAGAGTTATAAAGAACAAAACCACAAAATAAATTGTTGTTCAATTTTAATCTATCACGATGGGGGTTATCCCGCTGTTTTAGTGAATTTTCATTCAGACCATCATAATTAAATAGGGTTTATTAAACTCACGATCGTGATTAATAAGTACAATGTATATATTTAACATTAATTTTTAAAAGACTTATTCTCTTATTATATGTACAATTTATTTTGATTGTTTTTCAAAACTTTTGTTTAAAACTTGTTTTAACAAACTTTTCCATAGGCTTTATGTTTTATTTTTGACTTCTAAATTGTTGGTACGTTTTAATTATTTACCTCCTACATCAGAATCTACTGTAAATTTTTAATTTAAATTTTTCATTACACTTAGTTTTATTAATAGATTTTTTCCGATATTGCATGATAAGCCATATGGCCAAGAATAGAAACGAAAAATTTACGTTTATGAAAATATATTGTCGATCCTGATGATGGGAGCAAATCTATTCGTCCAAAAAAATTTAATCGTAAAAATTAAAAAAATTACATAGTTTTTTATATTAAAAACCACAATATAAGTAGAAGAAATATGATGTAATTAATATAAACATCAAAATGTAACTACATACTGCTTAAAATAACGAATAAATATGTGTTTTTTTTGCTTTAAATGTATATTATTTTGGTAAAAATAGCAATTTTCGTAACTTATCTTGATCCTGACTTTTATCATAACGTATAAAACTATTTCACTCAGACGGAAGCGTTTATATATTAAAAAAAGTTATGACAAAGTTTCCGAGGGAAAGAAAAGAGACGTGCGAAAAGCGTGGGCGTACACATTATTTATGCATGACGGGTGTGATAAAGTGGGTGCCATAAGGCTTTTTCATCGGGCGGTTCCAACCTCGGCCGGAAATTGGCTGCAGGGAAAAAATCCACACCCCAGTTTAAACAAATACAATTTGTCAAAGATAGGTGTTTGGGCAAAGTTTGCCAATGCCGGGGCCAAAGCGTTTCTAAGACCCCGCTTTAAGTTCGCAACAGTCCGACAAGAGCTTTGTCCCAAAGTACAATGGATGGAACAGTACAAGGACAGTTTCTGTCATACTGCTAAAATCTTTAGAAGACCAATGTTATAACTGGCATTTGTTCAAACAACCAACAGTACAGTATTCTTTTTTGTTCTATTTTTCTACTATTATTATAAAAGCCTTAAACATATTGTTGATACAAATAATATTTTGTTTCTAATAGAGGCGACATTAACAGAAAATACAAATCTTTAAGAATGAAAAATTTCCACACCCTAAACAATTATGCCAAACATTTTAACTAATTTGTATTTATTGTCAAGGTGGTATTGTGCTATAGGCAAAATGTTTTGTTTTATTTATGAAATTATGTTGTTTATGAAATATTAAATAATATGTGTGCCAATGTCACCATTAGGTTACCGTACTTAATACAGTTTCGACCTATTACTTGGTTCATTCTGTATTATTGCGATACAAACTTAATAGGATTGTGGGACACAATATGAAAACCAATGAATTGTATATTATTTTATTTGATATCTTTATTAGGAAGCATTTCTAGAATGATCTTATATTGGCTAAGCATGGATGATCGTTGAAGTCATTAAGATCCCTAAACCGGCTTAAATTGGCAAGAAGTCGGGTCATCCAGGTCATTTTCTGTCCTACTCGTTTTCAAGATTACGTATAAACCTCTACTTAAAAGGATAATTCTAATAATTGAAGAGGAAAACATAATACTGGATTATTATTAATCGACAAAAATGCTCTACGTTTGACTAGGTCCACCGAATCACTAGAGGAATCGAACAAGCTCATAAACAAAATGGTTTCCCATTATCCCAAGCATTCAATCATAAAATAAAGTCTGGCATGAAGGTGTCAGATATAGGATACGAAATTTATTTTACTTCTTGTTATCTATTATATTCCATAGAAGGAGATAACCAAAAGCACCATTTAATAAAAATATTTAATATTGTTATACATTGTTTGATTTCGGGATCTGCCGCCCCCTTCAGTTCTTTTAAATTAAAAACTAAACAAAAAACCAGTAATAATAAAAATAGAGACCAACATATTAACAAATTTCAATTAATTGATCTTTATGTAAGGCACCGAAGTCACGATAGCTGAAGTGGTAGAGCAGCGGCGTATTAGCCAAAGGTCGTGTGTTCGAATCACGCTGGTTTATCTCAACCAATACCTTACATAAAGGTTAATTAATTGAAAGATGTTATTTGGTCAATCGGACCACGAAATATAACGAATATTACCAAATATTAAAAATAACTTTTATGGAACACTATAGGTTATAATAACGCTGAATATGGCCGAAAGAGGTTAGGTAATTTAATGTCGATAAAAAGATGTCAGGGAAAGGCTCGATGACATCCGATGAAAGATGTGTGAAAGTATTTAGTAGAGTGAGGATTTATGTATGATTGGACGAGTCTGCTGAGGAATATCGAGTACTCCACATACTTGCAAAAACGTAGATTAGCTAGATTAATTAATAAGTAGAGAGTGATAAAGTGGTGAAACGCCAGGCACTAAAAATGCACGGTGTCTTTCCAATTTTAATTTTAAATACGGCATGAAAGGTTACTCGGTACGAACGTATTTATTGGCGTGAATGAAAAATGTTGGCGGTGTGACTCTCACCTGTTATAGTGGAGGGTTCACAATGGGTTATTTTTACTCTTAGACCTGTCAAACACTGGTTACATTTTAAAGTAGCATGGGTGTGTATGTATGTAATATGTGTTCTAGAAGTATCCATAATTATAACAAAATACCATTAAACATATTAATCATCTGGAAACCAAAAGTATATGACAGAAAAGTATGTGCAGAAAAGAATATATGTTTACCCGATTATAAAATAACGTGAGAAGGACAAATATGCGAGCCGGCAATGACCAAAAGAGTTTGACTGCAAAAAAAAAAGGAAAACTATGATTATGATATTTCAATTGCTCTCACATAACTTATCCAATACATGTTTATTCAACACCATATTTCTTCGTAATAATTTATTTATTTCTAATTTCTAATACATTTTAAAGTAATATAAGTTTTTAAAAATATTTTTTTACGTTACATTAATTGTTTTATTCATATTATGATCATTTATTTATATTTTACTGTTAATTTCGTTAATTTTACGATTTTATTTAATTTATTTTTTCTTTATCTATCATTTTTATTTTTAATGTTTGTATATAGCTAAAATGTTGGAGTATTGTATACTTATTTTTTTATATTTTTGTACATTGATACTATTGTTCTTTCCCAAATTTATGTAAACATTTTCTAACCACATCAACTTTCATTATTATTTTCTTTGTTATTGTTTTAACCTATTCATAATTAACTGTGTGTTTAGTCCGATTAATATGTTTTGATAAAAACTTGTTAACTTCTTAATTAATAATATTTCTTTTGTGTTGGTCTATTTTTCAAAATTCGTTTAAATTTTTTGTTGTTCGTTAATCAATTTAATAAAACATTCTATTGAAGAAAAATAGCACTAATAATATTTTAAGACAATATAGTTTTTAAAAGAAATTTAATTTCAGCCAACTAGGCCAAACTTGTATCGTACCTTGCTGAAAATTATATTTTTCAGAATTAGCAAAAAAGTCTAGTTAGAACTTAAACAGACGTTAACTAGATATAAATGGAATATATTGATTTGGCGAAAACACTATTGAATACACCCATAAACTGAACACCCCAATCTCCGGAATTAATAAATGGATGGCAAAGTTGAGAATAACGCTAAAAACAAAAAATCAGAATATGTGGACTTTACAAAACGGAAAATACATTATAAACTACCTCCTCTTTACGGTCGCGCCAACGAGGCAAAATACACGTGGTGAAATGCAATTAAATGAACAAAACAGCTGCGGACATGAGTTATCAAATGTATGCACCAACAGTTTTGCGGATACACAGGCTACATTCTCAAAATCTCATCATTTTCTGTGAATATGAACGACAAAGGCATAATAAAAATGATACCCAAATACCAGATTGAATAAGGAAAAAGGAAAAAATGGGCTGACCCTAAATCTCATTTTCATGCGTCAAAGCACATAATGGATGCATGGAAAACTAAGGAACTGATCGGCAAGCCAAAAAGAGAAATGACAGTATTGATAGTAACTTTTTTATGCCCCCAGAGAAAAAAATCTGATGTGACGTTGTGTTGGAAAAATAGGCTGGCACAAAATGGTAAACAGAGTTTCGCTTCTCCATATTCAAGAATTCACACTAAGTTGAATGAGCAGCCATTACAGGGGATTTGAGTTTAATGCCATTTATTGTACTATTATGACCAAAATATTGCGTCCTCAATTTTAAATTTTATATTATAACTGTAAGTAAATAATCCAAAACTAACACCGGAAATAACATTTGTTGTTGTGATTATGTATAGCTAGGACGGTAGAAAGAATTTTTAGCAAATTTTTGTCAGCGAGTACATTGAGATTCGATTTTTGCCATTTTCTTAGGCCCTTAGGATTCATAAGCATACACTTATGGTTTAATACTTACGTATGAAATTTGGTGCGATCCCCAATCTGAAAGCAAAAAATAAAAATTATTACAATTTCAAAAAAATAATTAATTAACAGTTCTATATCACGATATTGCATGAGATTCGTTATCTACTGTGAATATTGACTGGTAGTTGTAATCAAAGTTTGAGATTTGATCCACCTTTGATTTCATGGTTGACGACGTACTAATCGTAATTGATTCAGGACGAATTGATTGATTCACTATTTCAATATAGTTACATCCTACGTTTGACTACTTTTCTATAGCAAAAATATTACATTCTCAACGGAATGAACATATTATAAAAAACAAAGTAAAAAAACAAGAAATATAACATGTAAATATTATATATAGTACAGAAAGGTAAACAAATATGTGAAATAAAAAAGCCTTCTCATCAAAAATAATCAAACCTGATAATGCTGTTTCATTGTGGAAAATGGCGTTGTGTAATTCTCGAGACGAACGCGACAAATTTTTTATTAAAATTGATATTTTGCTGTTCGCACTTCTTAACGGTTGAACTTTACCCGCAGTCAGGTTTGACGGATGATTTTTGAACAATATTTAATATTGTTTTTCTTTTTTATGCGCTACCAAACGAGATTAATACGTAAAAGTAATGGTTTTATTAACTTTGATTTGACTTGCATTCTATCTGCTTTTGTAAAAATCAATTGATTTTTTCGTTGTTTAAAAAAGTGATTTCTGTGGAGTGTGATAGGGATTGGACAGGGAGTAAGTTGAAAACCAAAACAATTCTCTTTATGTCCTGATGTTTCAAGTATACATTGCCTCTTCTTCAGGAGCGAAAGCACCAAGAAATGGTACAAAGTTATTAGTATAACTATAATCACATTCGGTTGATATATGTTGAATATTAAAACCTTTGCACTGTTTCTAGGTTTTCTCCTCAAGATCACTCTTCCACCACTACACACCACCCGGAACTACAAGGGTCGAGGTAAGAAACATTAAAATTGTTAATTATGTTTAAATATAGCAATGCCAACAAAAATTTATTTGTTGGAAGATGGTGAATGCCCTCTTACCTATTCATCAAACCATCAAACTTCAAAAAATTATAAACCCACGCTCTTCCTCAACACATCAACAAATCTATTTAAAAAACGATTGGATATGGGGCTATTTTGAAATAATGCCCTACGAAAGAGAAATATCTAATTTTAATGAAAATGTAAGAGTTCTTGCCAATAAGCCTAAAATATATATATTATTGTGCTTGAATTTCAAGTTTATTAAATTAAACCATAATGAATTTACTATTCAAAATTTTCCTTACTAATTACTTAAATTAAATATTCTTTTTAACTAAAGTCTTGGTTGACATCACGTTAGCTCACGTGGTTAGAGTAGCAAAGTATTGAGACGAATATTCGAATCTTGCTTGTTACATTAGTTATTACATCTCAACCAGTGCCTTATAGAAAAAATATAATTAATTTAAATAAGTTATAAAAACATATCAACCGATATGTGACTTTAGCTAGGAGTTTGAAATACTACGAGGGATCGTACTAAAGATTTTGCAGGTTCGTTTTTATCATCCATTAAGTATTATTTTTTATAAGAAACAAAAACTTACAGATTTTTAGCTGAATTGACTGAACTGTTTCACATAGAAACTCTAACATACCTGCTACAGATTTTATGCAATTTCCAGGAAATTACAACCAGTTGAAAGTTGCATTTCTCATGTTTGTACCTTTAACAATAACTTTTGGTTTCTAAGTCATATAAGGAAAAAATAAGCACTATTAAAAAACATAACCGCATTATTTTATTTATCCAGGTATTAAATTTACTTATTTTATTATTAGTATTATTTATAGAAATAAAGCGTTTTTTCATTGTATTTTACTTATAGTGTCCAACACTGTTTTAAACAGCAAATGTCAGGAAATAACAATACTGTTTATATTTCACGTTACATACCATAAAATAACTGAATAACAAAAAATATCTCTAAATAAGTTAAAACTTAGTGGCATAATATAATTTGTATGTAACTTTATGCAATTAATAATTTTTAAATAATTGTTATGTTTACAATTTTGCTAACAAAATAGCCATTGGTGATAAATTTATATTCAGTATAATGTTTTTCAATTAATTAATCTTTATGTCAGGTATTGGTTGAGATAAAAAGTCAGTGTCACGAGCGGGATTCGAACACACGACCCTCGCCTAAATTCGCCGCTGCTGTACCACTTTACCGAAGTCACGATAGCTCACGGGGGGGGGGATTTTGTAAATTTGTATTCAAAAATGTACAATTCATGATTATTACATATTATAAAACTTGATGGCGGTCTATGTTCATGTTATTTTTTGTTAACTAAAAACGTGTCATTAATATTTTGAAATTATATGTTATCTAATTTGGCGTCGTCAATCGAAAGCAATCAAGTTAGTTAAACGATTTTTAAAGGAATTCAAATTGCACAAAGGCCATAAAGTAGGTTTTTAATTTAATTAAGGGAGATTGCGGCATGAAAAGCATTGAGCCTGCCGAGATGGAGCTGTTAATGCCGCTTTCTATGCCATCCGCAAGTGCCGTCCCATATCTAAATTAATGTCCCATCCACCTTATCTTTAATAGTCTGTCGCGGCCAGTAAATAAACGCTAAATCAAGCCGCTCTGTTTCTGGTAATCGTTCTATCCCTTTAACCAAGGAGTAACACTACTTCAGAACAGAGAAAATCCGCGTTTTAGATATAAACATAAAATGTTTTAAATATATGCAGGGTGTCCTTTTTAGATGCCCAGGCTGAATTTATCTTGAATCTATGAAGCTATTGAAAAAACAAAAACACTCGGGCACAGTTCAACTTTCGAAATTTCAAATAAGACCTTATACATTCTGACACATCATTTTAAAGAATTGTTTACGCTGAAAACAATCGTGCGATAAGATTTTAAATTAGTCATAAAATGACAAAGGTATGGCAAATAATTATAGTTGGTGTTTCTTGTCGGCCGGTTGACGGATGCATGAATGGAGAATTGGTAATTTTGCCGCTGGCCGCCACCCTGACAAATTCTCGAATCATTTGGAGGCATCAGATAGAAAGTTAAAAAAAAAGGAAAAAAGAATGGTTTGCGATTTATTAATCCCATCTCTTCACCGGTGCTCAGTGCGTTAGAGTCAGAGGAGATGGGTTAACATGCATTTACCATCCTTTGCCGAGGTTCGTCAACTGAGGTTGCTGGGTAATGATTGGCGTAGACACTGTTTTTTAAATGGCCCCACATAAAATGATAAAATGGTCAAGTGGAGTTAAATCGGGTGAAGGAAGTGACGATTCAAATTACGTCCCACTCCAAAGAATCGTGGGGGCATCCACCAAGCAGGACGATCATTCTTTGTCGTTGTTGCAGAGGACTAACATGTAGTAGTTTTGGTTACATCTCCCTCAAAAAATTAAGGAACTGAGCACCATTTAAATTGGTCTCGTAGAAACAAGGACCAGTTAATTTATTTCCAACAAGTCTATACCAACTGTGATACTGCCCACGTTCGAAAATTCCAACGGTTTAGTATGCCATTGAAGGTGAACTAGGATTCATCAGTCTATAGGATATATGGAAGAACGTTTCTTCAGTCTTCCAAATCGACTTTGTGCAAGGAAGGCTTAAAACCTGTCATTATCAGCCTCCCAAAGTTCGTGGATGAGATGAGAGTGATACAGCTTATAATTGAAAGTCCGGAGTACATCCACAATTTTATTTGATCAAAAACCAAAAATTCTTCCAACATTTCAGATAGGGTAATTCGGATTTTTCCGAACATGCAGCAAAATATTCAGCTCCTCGTCAAAATTACACTGCCGTTTTCTTTTTGGAATAACTTTGTCCTTCGTTACCAATTTAAAATCCGATTTCACCATTGTTTTCAAGGTAAAATATGCTTTAAAATGATATGGCAGGATGTATAGGGTCGTATTTGGAANTATATATATATATACATATATATATGTATATACAACCCTTATATACATTGTGTAAATATCAGCACAGGAAGTTCATAGAGAAAAACCAGATAAATAAACTGCCGACATAAGAAATTATGGGGTTTGAAAGAGATATTAAATTTCCATAATCTTTATTTTTGTTGGTACTTTTCCAAAACATGATGGATTAGGTACAAATCGCAATGAAAATAAAGTGACATTCTTTTTTATGGAATAATCTACCAAGAAGTTTCATTTTCCATTGCACATAACCTCTCTCTTCTTTTATGCGATGATATTAGCATAATCTTTAATCTTGGTTTCATGTACTGACAATTTATAGGTAGAATGCATGAATAGCAATTCTCTAAACATAATAATATTAATGATGAAAATATTATCTTTTTTGAACTGTATTTTTGTAAGAAACTATAAGAGGAATGGTAATGCGTAGCGATTAACGGGAAAAATTGATTGCTTTGTCAATATCACAAATTCTTATATCTGTCAGAGACAACAAAAACTTTAGGCCAGGAAAGTAATTTACTCAATTACAAACGACTCACATTTATACTTTGTTGTTCAAGATAAAAAAAATCACCAACGAAATAACCTCAGAACATTTTAAGTAAGATTGATCTTGACTTCGTAAATGACGGTACTTTATCATATAACATCATTCCATAAGCGCTCTATTTTTTTCAGCGGTATGAACAATATTTTTCGGACAGCAAATAAAATCACATCATAAAATACAAAAACGTGCAGAATGTTTAAATTTGCATAATTTAGACTTAACCCAATTAGTTGATGTTTTACAGTTATTATTACATAACCTCATGCACAACTTGTAACGCATAATGAGGGTCTAAATTAAGTATTGCATATACAAATGACCAAGTATACAATTCCTAGGACATGGCCACAATATACAATACCATCCTATCTGCCACTTACATCCTCTATCATGGAGGTATCCGATAGTGATTATCATTCCAAAATCTCCGAAACCTGCCAATCACGCGCCTAGCTAAATCAGCATTCTTCCTGTG